TGGCAATGATCAAGAAGAACAAATGGACATGTGATGAATTCATGAAGTTTGATGATGTCATTTGTGGGATAAGGGTTAATTTATCATATCAATAACTAGAGGGGGTTAATATTAGTTTAATTGGCTAGTTACTAACATTAAATTTTTTTTTTAATCAAGTTTCTATCTTTGTCGATCTGCTTCAAACCCATGCTGTCAAGACTCATTAAGGGAACTAGAGCCCCTTTGTTGGCTTGAATATCAAGACCATAGCTAGCCTCACCAACAGCATCCATTTCCATCTATAATCGGCTGGCTAATCAAAAACTAGTGTGAACCAGTTTCACTGAATTTGTCCCTCACCAAGATCTCATCTGAGGAGATGCCCCAAAGAGAGATTCTTGCCCGTTAAAAAGGAGAAACCCACTCCACTAGCAAGATCAATTCCAGTCACTACCGTCGAAAATCAATAAATGTAAACTCTAGAAAACCCAAGTATGCTACTGCCTTGTGGTTCCTTGGGTTGGAGTTTCCAAAGCAAGACAACGACAAGATGAAGAAGGAGATCAAAAGGAGAAAGGGAGGGGTAAGAAGAAAGAAGGGATGAAGGAACTCCTCTGTAGGAGAGAAACCCTAAGGAAGAAAACCCGACGCCACTACTCTAGCTCAACCCTAGAAACAGAGCACGGGAGAAAAACTAATGTTTACTAACATTAAAATTTAAGGAGTAATATATATAAAATTTAGGTTAAAACCCCATTTTGGTCCCTGACCTATTGTATGGACCCTCGATTTGGTCCCTAAACTTAAAAAATCCCTGATTTAGTCCCTACTGTTTACCATTTTAACCCTAACTTAGTCCTTCCGTTGAATATCCACAGTTAACTCACAAAGAGTTAATGACATGGCAAAAATTTGAGACACATCAGATAAAAATGATGACGGCAACATGACAGCTTATATTCTTGCCATGTAACCCACCAAAATTACAATTTTACACTCATCTTCTTCCTTGAACCTTCTTCATTCATCTTTCTTTTTCCCTTTCTTTGCCTCCTTTGACACAACTTTCATCATTATTTTTCTGAATCAAACAATTAATTCAATGAAATGGAATTCCATTCTTCATCAATCAATTCTTCTTCATCATCAAACAACAAAACCCATGAAAAAAAACAAAAATTAGAACCCAGCACCTCGGTTCGAAAGAAAGAACCCAGGCTCGAAAGAAAAAACCCAGGCGCTGGGTTTGATTTGAACGAACCCGAGCTTGGGTTCGAACAAACCTAGCGACTGGGTTCGTAGAACCTAGGCGTGGGTTCCGAGGAACCCAGCAACTAGGTTCTTCGAATGAACCTAGCAACTGGGTTCTTCAAATGAACCCAGGCTTGGGTTCAAACGAACCCAGCGCCTGGGTTCAAACGAACCAAGCGACTAGGTTCCAAGGAACCCAACAGTGGCTATCCAGTTCGATGGGTTCTAAGGGGGGAAGGGTAAAGAGAAAGGGAAAGAGAAGGAAAAGGATAAAAAGAAAGAATTTTTTCAAGTTTTATTTTTCATATTATTATTATTTTTATACTATTATTTTTTTACCACATGTATTAATATTTTGCCACATCATCCCATAACAGTGAATTAACAGTACAGGAAATGAGATTTTTAATGGAATGACTAAATTGGGGTTAAAATGGTAAACAATAAGAATTAAATCAAGGATTTTTTAAGTCTAGGGACCAAATCGGAGATCCGTATAATAATTCTAGGACCAAAATGAGGTTTTAACCTAAAATTTAAGATACCAAAATATGCCCATTGAAATAGGAATAGAAAAACAAATCTCTACTAAAGAGAAGTTAGAGTTTATTGAAGTTAACACTTAAAACAAGTGAAAGATTACTATTAGAAGAATTCCATCTTTAATTGTGAATCAAAGTTATTTATTAAAGAGTCACGCTTATTTGAAGTAAAGATCACTAAATCTTCTTAAACCATATTTTTATTTTTACATTATAATTATTTATGTCGATACTACTTTTTTTCACAATATATGCAATCATGGATAAGAGTTACGGTCACCAATTTTTTATTAGTCAAAGCATAATATTGATAGAACGGTTTTGATTCATCAAGTAAGAAATTGATTCACCCAGGTCTATTTTTCCCTCCTTTTTTCTATTCATGTGGTACTCTTGCATTTGCTCCTATTTGGATTTCTTCTAAAGCACAGTGCCAATGCCACCATGTGGCTGGCTCATTGGATTCGAGTCCTGATTCCTATGTGGCCAACGCGAACATTATTTCAATTCCGTATCTTATTCTAGTACCAACTTTGCCCCTCACCCAAACTTAAATTTTCAGAATATTACTGTTAGTCCTAAACCCCAAATAATTCCATTACAAAAAAATTAGAACTTACAGCTTAGATTAAACCCAATCGAGGACGTAAAATTTAAAATTTGATAAAGTCATTTAAAATTTAATAATTATTCTAAAATAATGTAATTTATTTAAATATAATAGGTTTCACTATGTTTTATTTTTTAAAAAAGAAAAATTGAGGTGCAATGGGCCTATGATACAAATGGATGAGTGGATTCATGCTATGTGCATATTTTAAAATCTTGGGTCTTTATCTATACATATTTAAAATTACAAATATATTATGTGTACATTTTAAAATTTTGAGTCTTTATGTGTGCTTATTGCAAATCACAAATGGCTAAATCATAATTTCCCCTATCCAAAACTAATTTGACATGAAAATCGATCAAAATTAAGAATTGTATCGTTTGCAATCAGATTTATTACCTAACAAGCTGAAATGTACACACTAAAAGTGACAAATTGGGGGCTACAAAAATATAGAAACAAGACAAAAGAAATGACATTGGGAATTCGAATCTTAATTTTGTCTACCATATTTGCTCTTCCCTTAATATGTTCAGCTTGAAACACCCCTCATATCTTCTCAAGTGCAACTATATTCTCTATTGTCTTAACCTTAAGTTTTTATTACTTTAATTAAGGCTGTGTGTGGCTAACATAGAACCCTACAAAAGAAGCTTTTGCCCTTGGATTCTTTTGTCCAATGGTTAGTAGACTAAAGAGATTTAGTTGACTAAATCCTCACTTCGTTAACCAATTTAATAACTAAACTCACTTTTTTCTTAGAAGTATTTAACTTCGAGACAAACATATTAGAAAGATGGGAGATCTAAGTTCCCTTTAATACGATTATGATTTTTAGCTTTGGTTTTTATAAATTTTGTGACTCTAAACAAAAAATTCTTTTTTTTTTCATATGTTTTTGCAATATATTATCATCTTTATTGGAGAAATAAAAAAAATAGTTTTAATACCACTAAACAAGTTTTAGTTTTCATTATTAGTGTTACTGTCTTAAACAAATTGTTAGTTTTTAATTTTTAGTGTTGATTTTCAATAGTTACAAAATTTAAAAAATAGCAAAAATTAAAAATAACAACTATACTACACAAAGTCTTAATTTCTCATTAGGGATACACATTCTACTAAACCAAAGACGTCAAGATTTGAAAGCTAACCCTACATTTTATTTTGATTCTTCACGATTAAGAGCTCGCCCGTTAACGCATGATGACTCAAAAACTAACCCAGAATTTTATTGAGATCATTCAAAACTGGGAGCTCACCCGCCACAAATTTAGGACTCGAAGGTTACCCCTGAATTTCAATCAAATTATTCAAAACAAAAAGCTTCCCTGCCAGAGACTAAGGACTCGAAGGATAACCCTGAATTTCATTCAAATTATATAGATCAAAGAGCTACCCCGCCACAGATTGATGACTTGAAGGTTAACCCTGAATTTCATTTATATTGAAATTCAGGTTATATAGATTCAGGAGCTGCCCCGCCGCACAATGATGACTTGAAGGTTAACCCTAAATTTTATTCATATTATATAGATTCAAGAAAGTTAACCTTGAATTTCATACAGATTATATAGATCTAAGACCTGTCGCCCTGCACAATAATGACATAAAGGTTAACCCTGTATTTCTTTCCGATGCAAGAGCCACCCCGCCCCAACATGATGATTTGAAGGTTAACCCTAAATTTCATTGAGAATATTCACCATAAGGAACATAGCCGCAACAAATTGATTAAAATAAATGTATTTTAATTTACATTGTTTGGAATAAATAAAATAAAAATAAATTTGAAATGCATTTATTTTTAAATACATTGTTGGAGTATGCATCCATTTGAAATTAAATTTTAAAAAAAAGAATTATAAATTAGACTTCACAAAATTCTATCTGACCTGCCTACTATATAAATAGGTATAGGTTAATATTTAATAAGTTTTAATAACTGAATTAATTATGAGTTAATTGCCCACTCAATTATTGTATTAAATATAACAACCAATTAGTTTAATCATTTAAATTTATTAAGAATGAGTCAACTAGGGATGATGTTTGAAAATTGAATGCAGGCTTAGGAAGTAAGGAGGGGTGGTTGGTTTCAAATTTCAATATGAATTTGGGTGATGAGAAGAGTGTTAGGTTTTGGATTGATGCATGGGTGGTGGGGATTCACTGGCTAATGTTTTCCCTAGACTTCGTTTATTGGCTTAAAAAAAAATGCTGCAGCATCTATGATATGGGACATTGGATAGATGGTTGCTGGGTTTGGAGGTTCCAGTGGAGAAGAACACTTCGAGCTTGGGAAGAGGACAAACTAAAACAATTGATCGAGGCTATACAACACATAAAGCCAGTGCAATACACAAAGGACACTTGGAGTTGGAGGCTAGATGCTGGGGGAAAATATACCACAAGGTTTGCCTACGAGCAGCTTGCAAAGAAAGAGGATAATAGGCTATTGGAGTACAGAAAACTATGGGGTGTG